CTTCAGAGCTGCCAGGAAAGGCCTTTCAGCTGGCCCAACAATCGACTCCAAAGGATCAGCAGGCCACAAAGGCCAAGAGGGGAACCAGGAAAAGCGCCTCTGCCTGCGCTTGGAGCAGTCTGCTGGTTGGATCTGAGTGTCAACATGCCCAGCAACCGCCAGATCCTTGTTCTCCAGCCTCAGGAGTACAGGATGAAGCTGCCAAAGTAGCCGTCATTTGCTCTGGATGATCCACAAAGGTCCTGTGTCAGAAGACTGCCTGAACAAGCAGGGATGCTCCCGTTGGCCAGAGAAAGATGCCCTTTGCACAAGCTTCCTGGACATCTAGCTGCAAAGGCCAAGCCATTTAGTGTGATTACTCAGAAGTGCAGCTGGTGTGCATCTAGCTGCAATCATGAATCTGACAGCACAACTTTGCATAGCTGCAATCCAAAGTCTGGCTGCAGGCAGAGTCAGGATGTCGGATCACACATGTATGGTCTCCAGCAACAATCACAGAACCGGGATTGCCCTGTGTGCGCAACCAGCTGTGACTTCAGGAGAATTGGCTGTGGCTTCTGCTGCTAGCTACAATTGCTGGCTACAGATATTTTTTTCATTGGCGTGTCCTTTTTGCTCTTGGGGCCTGGAGTACCACAGGATGGCCAAGGATGCATGATGGTGCAGGGCCTGCGCAGAGCGTCCAAGGGCAGGGAAGGGATGGCATTCAGTCATGAGCACATCAGACAAGGAGCCTTCCAGTTGCCTCCTTGTTCCTCTAGATCCTCCATGCTGGAGGCTCTAGGCTGCTTGCCTAGCTGCAAAACCCTGCTGCAGCAACTGCTGTCCAGCTTCAAGGTGCACAGCTGCCAGGAACAGCTCCTTGGCCAGCCCAGCAATCAACACTGACAGCGCTGTGCCACTCAGAGCTTTACAGTTCTGATCAGAGGCAGATAGGTGATTTGCCCTTGCCTTCTGACCCTCTTGAGAGCCCAAGAATTGTTCCTGGAAAGGTTGCCTTGCATCCTGGACCTGAAGATGCTTGTACATGTGGACCGGAGCCCCTGCATGGTCTGCTTCTGGCCTGCATCGTTCATGATTGCTGCGCTGAACGGCCTGGGCCTGTGCAAGGAAGCATGAAGGGCAGGCAGGGTTGGCGACTGTTGGGGCATGGTTGCATGGATGTGTGGTTATATCAGGGCAAGCAGACCACCCTTCCATCTGCGGCCATAGGACCCTGAAAGCACTGCATCCCGTCCGATCTGCAAAGTTAAGCAGGGTACCGCCTAGCTAGTACTGCGGTGGGGGACCACGCGGGAATCCTAGGTGCTGCAGTTTCCTTTTTCTTTTTCTTGCCCTTTTTTTCCCCTACCTCTTCCTTTGCCCAAGTACACTCTCCTCTCCACCTTTGCCCTTGCCCCTTTGACCTTTGCCCTCTGACAGGCCCTGATAGCCTTCTGTAGTCTCAGGCCTGCCAAGGACGGTGCCATGTTCTGTCTTGGAAATGATCCCTGCCAGAGAAATGTTGGCAAGTGCCCCAATCATGCCAGAAGATCTGCATCTACAAAGTACCGCCCGACATGAGACCCAACAGGGAAGTTGGCCTCAGGAATCCATGCTACCATCTCACAGAGGCAGAGGGCAACACAGAAATGCTATGTGCTGTCATCTCTTGCCTTGCCTTTGGATAGCCTGAAACATTTGCTGTGTCATGGTCTGACCTGAAGGGGCGGTGTTGAAAATCCCAGCAGGGACATCTTGGTTGCCTGGATGCCCTAGGTTGAAGAGTGCTATGCTCCCAAGG